CACAAATCTGGCCTTTATGGAAGAGTGGAAAGAAGAAAGCCATTGTTGGAAGAAAACCATAAGAAGTCCTGTTTGCAGTTTGTGGGAAGCCATGTGGGGGATACAGCAAACGTGGAAGAAGGGGCTCTGGTCAGATGAGACCAAAATTGAACTTTTTGGCCTAAAAGCAAAATGCTATGTGTGGCGGAAAACTAACACTGCACATCACCCTGAACACACCCATCCCCACTGTGAAATATAGTGGTGGCAACATCATGTAGTGGGGATGCTTTTCTTCAGCAGGGACAGGGAAGCTGGTCAGAGTTGATGGGAAGATGGATGGGCAATACAAATACAGGGCAATCTTAGAAGAAAGCTTGTTAGAGTTTGCAAAAGACTTGAGACCGGGGCGGAGGTTCACCTTCCAGCAGGACAACAACCCGAAACATCCAACCAGAGCTACAATGGAATGGTTCAGATCAAAGCATCTTCATGTGTTAGAATGGTCCAGTCACAGTCCAGACTGAAATCCAATGGAATCTGTGGCAAGACTTGAAAATTGCTGTTCACAGACGCTCTTCATCCAATCTAACAGAGCTTAAGCTATTCTGCAAAGAAGAATGGGCAGAAATGTCCCTCTCTAGATGTGCAAAGAGCCATTCCCAAAAAGACTTGCAGCTGGAATTGCAGCCAAAGGGGTCCTACAAAGTATTGACTCCGTTGGGGCTGAATACACTGCTGCCACACTTTTCATATATTTATTTGTAAAATAAATGTAAAACCATTTATGATTTTCCTTACACTTCACAATTATGTGCCACTTTGTGTCAGTCTATCACATTAAATCCCAATAAAATACATTTAAGTTTTTGGTTGTAACATGACAAAATGTGTGAAATTGCAAGGGGTATGAATACTTTTTCAAGGCACTGTATATAACACTGATGTCTGTACACTGCATACAATTTCCTATATAAAACACTGATATCTGAACACTGAGTGGCACTCGGTGTACAGATATCAGTGATATATACAGAGAAGAAAATGCGTATTTGCTCCCCTGCTGATTTTGAATGTTTGCCTACTCACAAAGAAATGATCAGTCTAAAAATCGAATGGTAGGTGTATTGTAACACTGAGAGGCAGAATAGCAACAAAAAAATCCAAAGAAATGCATGTTTAACAAATGAGGCACTGATTTGCATGTTCATGAGGGAAATAGATATTTGATCCCCTTCACAAAACATGACTTAGTACTTGGTGGCAAATCCCTTGTTGGCAATCACAGAGGTCAGACGTTTCCTGTAGTTGGCCACCAGGTTTGCACACATCTCAGAAGGGATTTTGGCCCACTCCTCTTGGCAGATCCTCTTCAAGTCATTAAGATTTGGTGGCTGACGTTTGTCTGACATTTGGCAACTCAAACTTTTCACACCTCTCTCTCTTTTCCCTATCTCTCTCTTCTCTCTCTCTCTCCTCTCTCTTCCCTCACTCTCTCTCTTCCCCCCCCTCTCTCTTGTCTCTCCTCTCTCTTCCCCCCCCCTCTCTCTCCTATCTCTTCCCTCTCACCTCTCTTCCCTCTCTCTTTTCTCGCTTTCTCTTCCCTCTCTCTTTTCCCTCTCTTTCTTCCTTCCCTCTCTGTTATCTCTCTCTCCCTCTCTCTCTTCCCTCTCTCCCCTCTCTCTCCTTTCTCTTCCATCTCTCTTTTCTTGCGTTCTCTTCCCTCTCTCTCCTATCTCTCTCTCTCTCTTTCCCCCTCTCTTCCCCCCTCTCTCTCTTTCCTCCCTCTCAATGCCCCCCTCTCTCTCAACCTCTCCCTCTCTGTTCCCCCCTCTCTCTCTTTCCCCTTCTCTCTCCCCCCTCTCTCTCCCCCCTCTCCCCCCCTCTCTCTTCCCTCTCTTTCCATCTCCCCCCTCTCTCTCTTCCCTCTCTTTCTCTCTCCCCCCCCCCTCTCTCTCTTCCCTCTCTTTCTCTCTTCCCCCCCTCTCTTTCCTCTCTTTCTCTGTTCCCCCTCTCTCTCTTCCCTCTATTTCTCTCTTCCCTCTCTTCCATCTCTCGTTCCTCTCTTCTCTCTCTCATTCCTCTCTTCTCTCTCTCATTCCTCTCTTCTCTCTCTCTTTTCTCTTCTCTCTCTTCCTCTCTTCTCTCTCTCTCCCCCCCTCTCTTCCCCTCTCTCTCTCTTCCCTCTCCCTCTTCCCTCTCTTTTCGTCTTCCCTCTCTCTCCCTTCTGTTTCTCTCTTCCCCTCCCCCCCCCCCTCTCTTTCCCCCTCTCTCTCTCCCTCCCTCTCTCTTCCCTCTCCTCCCCATCCATGAAGCTGCAGTGCTGTCACAGGGGGTCAGGGGATTACACACTGACATGCTGCAGGATACAAGGCAGGTCAGCTCAATGATGACTCCGCTCTCTGCTCTGCCCGCCCCTCCAGCTCTCCATCTTCAACACCTGTGGCAGGGAGGTGACAGTGATCCATAGGGTTTCAACCTGGCCATTTTTGCACTAATCTGGCCAGTAAAATAAAGAGAAAGCGCTATTGAGCTTGGTAGTTTGACACTGTATCAATCTGCCCCCTTAGCACTGCCAGGCTACAGCCACACATATAACACGTTTTAGAGACTTAGTCGATGACCAAACTATCAGAGCAGTGAAGAGATGTGAGCTTAAACTGGACTGTTTAGCTGTTGCAAAAAGGGAGCAAAAGATGTTTTATTATAGTTGTAATATTTATAAGAATATATTAAGTCATAAAGCAAAAGCAAAGTGTCTACTCTATGGATTATGAAAAAAGAATGGTGGATTCCATTTACTTGTGTCAGGTAAACTTTTTTTTGTGGCAAATTGGCATTCTTAGAAAAAAGGTTAGGGGTACCAATATACTGGTAAACAATTGTACATTTATTGTGCATAGATAGATAGAAATAAGTTAAATGTGAGTTCAATTTATTGTAAGTATGCCCTTGCCATACTAATGACATGTGGCCTGGTATGGCATGCTTATTCTCCCTTTCTTTGGTCGATCAGGCTGCCTGCTTGGTTGAGGGCATCCCCCAAGCACCTTATTTAATAGAATATTAGTTATTAAAATCACTGCTCCCTAGCAAATGGTATTTAAATATTTTTGTTTTCATTATTACAGCTCCCCATGTAAACCATCTGACAATCCCTTTCCTATTAGCCTCGAAAATAGCCAGAACTGACTGATCTTCTGTTGACTTCTGTGGGGTTCAGATTAAGGTTCAGAAAACCTCCCAAGAACTGAATTGAAGCACATTTGGTTCATCCCTAGTCATCACTGAGGGACAGCAGGAGGGTAGGTGTGCAGCTACACTTTGTATACTTGCACAATATGGTGAGAGCTCATCCCCACCAGTGAGAGTGTTTTTCCCATTATAACAACTGGGGCCTGAAAGGAGGATCAATGCAACATAGAGGATGTCCAAGGAGAGATGCATGTTTTTGCTTTCTGATTTATTTTTAAAAAAGAAACAGTAGTAGTTCAATATTGGAAGTATTGTATAAATTCATAGAATATGTTATAGTAAAAAATAAACAGTACTATTTGGATCAATTTTATTTTTAAGTTTTCAAATTGTTTTGTTATATCTGTGTTTTGCCACTTACGCACAATCTTTTTTCACAAATAAAATATTTATTACACATTTAATACATTACAAAGGTTTCCTGAAGAACTATGAGTTTTCTAAAAGACAAAACATGAGTTAAGAGCTTAAATTAGGTGAATCCTTGCTTAGCTGAATTGTGTATGTAAGTTTCAGCTTGAGCTACTGGGTTCTGTAAATCACAGGTTTTACATAGAATAACCAACTTGAGAGTATGAAAAATGTGAAAAGGTATCTAAAGCTGGATATAGAGGTCTCACTTTTTTTTATCAACCAGCAGACTAACAAAGAAAAGAATGGATTTCTCCATTCACACAAGCTAGGTGTATGGAGGAATCTCCCTGCTTGTATTCTGTCTCTGAGCGGCACTCTCAGCTGTCAGAACACACTGATCAGTGGCTGCAGACAATTTTAATATGATACCTCGTTCATCCAAACTCAAATAATGACTGTGTCTTTTTTAGAGATCTTAAAGTAAATGGTTTACTACCATGACTCAAGACTTAATGCATAGGCACTCCTAGGCAGTGTCCCTGGTGAACGGGGGCCACATGATAATCTTGCACTATATATGCATAAGCTGTCCCAAGATGACCTTGTTTTGGGCAGCGTCCCAGATTTTGGGCTATGGGGATAGCAGCAACCTGCAGTGTAACACTACAATCTAGAATTAAATCTGCCCCCTCTACCTTCCCCCAATTTCCAGTGCTCTGCATTAGTTTAGGAAGAATCCATAGAGGGGGAGCATTTTACTGCTGCTGTTTGCATGGGTGGGATGTGTACTGCTCTGATCCTGGCTGTGCCTTTTCTCCTGTCCGTGCCTTTTCTCCTGTCCATCTCAATTGCTTACATCATCTGAAATAAACAGGATAGAAGGGCTGCCAGGGATCAGAGCAGTACACATCCTGCCCTCACAAATAGCAGCAGTAAAATGCTCTGATCCACCTACACTGTCCTCCACTGCCCCCTGTACTGTGCCCTCCTGACCCACCCACACTGTGCCCTCCTGACCTCCATACTGTGCCCCCCTGACCCACCCACACTGTTCCCTACTGCCCCCCATACTGTGCCCTCCTGACCTAACCACACTGTGCTCTACTGACCCTGATAAACAAACCAAATATATAAAAAGTTTTGTTCTCTCAACTCTCAAATGGTATGGCTTTTAACAACTAAAAGTAAAGTTTATTACATTTATTAAAAAAATAATAATACAGTAATGAGTGGGAAGCGCTATGTGTTTTAAAACTGGTTAGTGATTTTTTTTTTTTACCTATAGTTATTGTGAAGGGGTAAAGGGATAAAATTATTCTTTGGCCTATTTACATGAATGTGAATAATATTTTTTGTGTTAATCAATTCCACTTTATTTCATTTTAATGTTAATATTCACTCTTACTGCCTAGGTGCTTTTTATCCTGCAGTTCCTGTTCAACCTATTATACTTCGATACCCAAACACTTTGGTATGTATTTTAATAGACTTTCAAAACCATCACTATTAACAACTCTCACAGTAATCTTTATTGTTATACCAACTGGTTTTATTATCAATTAAAATCTATACACATAAATTAAATACAATCAAGTCGCTTGTCATTATGAAAACAATACTGTTATAAATTCCAACACAACAATTTCATTATTGTGAGTGGTCTCTTTCCCCATATCTCACAACATTCTGAAATTGTGGTACATACTGCAAACGTGCAGCATTTTAAAAACATGATGTGGCATTTCTTAACTGAGCTGTGTGGATCAGAAGATCCAGCCATTTAATCCACAAAGATCAGTATGCCAAAAAAAGACAGTTTAGGAAACCACACTTTTTTTTACTGGTATAAAACGTTTTTTAATCCATTTTCTAGTAAAAAGATATTTTTACCCAGTATACCAGAACTTTTCCCACTTCTAAGTTCAGGGGAATGCTGGTATGTTCCATAAAAATAATACAATTATATATAAATATATAAAACATTTTCAGAAAAGAGGTTTTTACAGATGTTGAGGTTTAGAAATATTTCATGGTAACTAGTCAGGTTCTGTATTTTATGAAAAAAACTGGGTATTGAATGATGATTATGACTGACTTCCCACTTTTTTTAAATTTCTTTTCTTAACATTTCATAAATGGGTATCATAAATCCCAATAAACAAGAGATATGCTGGCATTGTTGGGTTTATTCTATCTCTAATCTAGAGATAGTATGTGATCTCATTTTCTTCTCAAAACTTATTTGGGAATGAATAGTCCTTAATGAAGACTATATTTTTTGACTACAGTAAAATTATTTTAATCTAAGCAAAATACTAGAGAATGTAGACTACTGATGGTTTCATAAAACATTTTCAGGTTACATATTCATACGGTCATTTAAACAGAGATATGCTGAGGATTTTTCAGCGCTAAATAGAGTTCACTATGACGCTGCTACCTTTCTCCTCCTACCCCTTAAATATACAGGTGAAACTTGAAAAATTAGAATATCGTGCAAAAGTCCATTTATTTCAGTAATGCAACTTAAAAGGTGAAACTAATATATGAGATAGGCTCATTACATTCAAAGCAAGATAGTTCAAGCCGTGATTTGTCATAATTGTGATGATTATGGCTTACAGTTCATGAAAACCCCAAATCCACAATCTCAGAAAATTTGAATATTACATGCAATCAATAAAACAAGGATTGTACATAGAACAATATCGGACCTCTGAAAAAGTATAAGCATGCATATGAACTCAGTACTTGGTTTGGGCCCCTTTTGCAGCAACTACTGCCTCAATGCGGTGTGGCATGGAAGCTATCAGCCTGTGGCACTGCTGAGGTGTTATGGAAGACCAGGATGCTTCAATAGCGGCCTTCAGCTCTTTCTGCATTGTTCGGTCTCATGTCTCTCATCTTTCTCTTGGCAATGCCCCATAGATTCTCTATGGGGTTCAGGTCAGGCAAGTTTGCTGGCCAATCAAGCACAGTAATCCCACGGTCATTGAACCAGGTTGTGGTGCTTTTAGTAGTGTGGGCAGGTGCCCAGTCCTGCTGGAAAATTAATTCAGCATCCCCATAAAGCTCATCTGTGGAAGGAAGCATGAAGTGCTCCAAAATCTCCTGGTAGACGGCTGCGTTGACCCTGGACTTAATGAAGTACAGTGGACCAACACCAGCAGGTGACATGGCTCCCCAAATCAACACAGACTGTGGAAACTTCACACTGGACTTCAAGCATCTTGCAGTGTGTGCCTCTCCACTCTTCCTCCATACTCTGGGTCCTTGGTTTCCAAATGAGATGCAAAAGTTGCTCTCATCAGAAAAGAGGACTTTGGACCACTGAGCAACAGACCAGGTCTGTTTTTCTTTAGCCCAGCTAAGACGCTTCTGACGTTGTTTGTTGTTCAGGAGCAGCTTGACAAGAGGAATACGACATTTGAAGCCCATGTCCAGGATCCGTCTGTGTGTGGTGGCTCTTGATGCACTGACTCCAGCCTCAGTCCACTCCTTGTGAAAGTCCCCAACACTTTTGAATGGCCTTTTCCTGACAATCCTCTCCAGGCTGCGGTCATCCCTGCTGCTTGTGCACCTTTTTCTTCCACACTTTTCCCTTCCACATAACTTTCTATTAATGTGCTTTGATAAAGCACTTTGGGAACATCCAACTTCTTTTGCAATTACCTTTTGAGGCTTTCCCTCCTTATGGAGGGTGTCAATGATGGTTTTCTGCACAACTGTCAGGTCAGCAGTCTTTCCCATGATTGTGATTCCTACTGAACCAGACTGAGAGACCATTTAAAGGCTAAGAAACCCTTTGCAGGTGTTATGGCTTAATTAGCTGATTAGAGTGGGACACTTTGAGCCTAGAATATTGCACCTTTTCACAATATTCTAATTTTCTGAGATTGTGGATTTGGGGTTTTCATGAGCTGTAAGCCATAATCATCACAATTATGACAAATCACGGCTTGAACTATCTTACTTTGCATGTAATGAGTCTATCTCATATATTAGTTTCACCTTTTAAGTTGCATTACTGAAATAAATGAACTTTTGCACGATATTCTAATTTTTTTAGTTTCACCTGTATGTGTACCTTGAGTGACACAGCACTCTCAAAATGCAGGTATAATTATCCTGTAAAGGGCACTACACACTCATTTACATAAAAGCTTTGCTTTGCACTTTATCCATTTTGCATTTGTGAATCAGTATTTTAAAACAAGTTTAACTATCTGAAGACCAGCCCATAGCAGCTTTACTGCTACAGGGCAACCCTCCTCCGCCACACGGGGGTGCAGGCGCACTGCCAGCGGATCGCTTCTACTGTGAACTGTCAAAGTAGGAGCCGATTTGCAAGGTCAGGCAAATGGATCCAGAAAGTACTGGAACTATTTGGCACAACATATTGATGTCTCCCTTGCATCGTAATTGTTAAATAAAATACTTTAGGTTTACCATATTTTAATGGTAATTAAAATAATTATTTTAAGAAATTTGATAAATAACTAGGCAGTTAGAAAGCATAATTGACCAGAACTAAAATTGTAATGTATAAACTGAAATGTTTTTAAGCAACAAAACACTGAATTATTTTTAAAATAACAATTGTAATGGTGTAACAAAAGTATACAATATATACAAAAAACAGATATAATACAATATAGTTAAGATAAATAATAATGGATGTTTTAATGACATATAGAGTTGAGTCTTTCATTAAGTATCTTTTCTCTTATTCTTCAACTTAACCAGTATGCCCTGAATCCATGAAAAATCTGCCCCAACAGGTTCAGTTATAAAAATATAAAGACATATGACATAGATTCCAGAAATCAGTAAATTTCAGATAATTTCTAAGAATAAAGGCAGCATTATGCAAATGGACAGGTCCCTACTGAATCCTGCATGCAACTGCTTACAATGACAGCATTAGAAGGGTGATCATTCTCTTACTGGCTCAATTAAAACATTTTTTTTTTTACAAATCTCTACCCTCTTCCCCAGGAAGCAAAGATTATTAACAGATCTTGCTGATTTAATATTGCAGTTGGTTTGTTCTATATATGGTCAAATTAATTTTATGTTTCTGTTCTTTTTATGTTATATATTTGGCTGCCTTAGGACACAGTTACCTGGACTTGGCAAGGATATACAGTGTAAGCATCAAATCTTGACATAAATGAATAATCTCAATAACCTTGTCAATTGTAAAAAGGGAGTTGCTTATTTGTAGTGAGGATTTCTAGTAGTGATATTAACACGGAGTGTGCTGCTTCTGATGGGGTTTTATTAGCTTCAATATAGGTTTTGTATTCCCATAGTCTATAGGCCCAAAGTCTATAGGGATACAAATTCTTCTTGAAGCAATTCAAAGATAGAGCAGAGGGTGGTCTACTGCATGTAAAATTCACGTATCAATGAATAGTGAATGTTCTCAGAAGCATCTCAAACTGATGTCAAACTAAAGCCATTAACACAAGCCCTATGTGTATTTGTTGTACATATTTCACTTGACATTCATAATATTAACTGCTGGGTTGCTAGTAAGTATTTATTTCCTATGACTCTATCTAGTGATAATATTGCAGTATTTTCCTGAATTATGCTAGTCTATAGAAAAGCTTTCAACCTGCAGAGAATATGGCCTAATAACATTTGTTGGGCAGCACAGTGGCTAAATGGTTAGCACTTCCGCCTGGCAGCACCAGGGTCGTTGGTTTGAATCCCAACCACAGCACCACCTGCCTGGAGTTTGTATGTTCTCCCTGTGCCTGTATGGGTTTCCTCCGGGTACTCCGGTTTCCTCCCACACTCCAAAGACATGCTGGTAGGTTCATTGGTTCCTGTCTAAATTGGCCCTAGTATGTGTATGTATGAATGTGAGTTAGGGACCTTAGATTGTACGCCCCTTGAGGGTTAGGGACTGATGTGAATGTACAATATATATATAAAGCGCTGCATAAATTGATGGCACTATATAAGTACCTGAAATAAATAAATAAATACATTTGTTTTGCCCTAATTTGCACAGAATGAATGTACATGCCACATTTCTGCTCCGGCAAGGACTGCTTACTTCAATTTATTTAAAATCAGAATCCACCGACTAACTTGCAAAATGTAATCTATACCAAAATATTTCTCAAAACTATATGGTTTCCTATAGGAACTAAAATCCCCATAAACCTTTTAACCCTTTGCTGCTGAGCATATCCAGATATGTGACCTTACTGAAAAGCGTCTTCTTCCATGGGGCAGCGTATGTGCTGCACAGAGCTCTCCCAGCATAACAGTTAGGGTCAGTGCCAGGGTTAGGATCAAAGATCAGTGCCATGGTCAAATGTTAGAGTCAATGTCAGTGTGCTTTAGGTAGGATTATAGAAAACTATTTTTTATTTAGTGTCTGTGTTTTCAGGTCCTACTTCAGATACAAACAACAAATAATATACGCGTGTGGTAAAGCTACACAAAGAACCCTGAAACTGACTCTGATAGCAGTCAGGGTCAAAGGTCAGGGTCAGCTTCAATGTATTTTTGGTAGGATTAAAGAAAAGTTTTTTATTTAGTGTCAGGGCCAGTTGGTGCAGTGGTGTCAGTATACATATATGTAGTATGGTTGCAATTGACAGGAGCAGCATCATTTTTTTGGTTGTTCTTTGGTGGTGGGTTATAGTAATGGCAAGAAATATACAGTTACATTTCAAAAAATAATATTTTTTACAATTTTGTGTCAGTTTTACTTTGATAATAAAAAAAAAAAATCAGAAGATATCCATTGTCATTTACCATCAAACGAAGGCCCAATTTGTCCTGAAAAAAACAAAGTATAATTTCCCCAAATACACTAAGTAGTTGAATACATATGTAGACTTTTACTAACACATGCCAAAATTTCAAAACCACTTTCAGGCTTTAAGAGTTGCTTGGACCTTCATCATTAGGGGGTTAATAATAAAATAATTGTAGAAATATTGAATATATTAACATATATTTAAAACAAGATCCACATTATTAAATCACCTCTGTATTTTTGCATCTTACCCAAAAGTCATTGCATTTGTCTTTAAATCATACCAAAATACTGCTCCTCAAATACCATTCAAGCTTTCAGATCATTTCCAATTGACACAATGGTGGCAACACTTGGGAGATTAACAGCCCTTCCCCATGCAACTCCAATAAAAGTGTCTACATTCCAATGCCCCCTCTAATTGGCTGAGGGGGAAATTAGGTCAGATGGTGTCACAATCTCCTGTTTACTTCACTGGCACATTACAGTGAGTTGCAGTTTCTGGGGCTAAGGACAGTGGAGTGTTACCCCCCCTGTATTCACTATGAATCGATGCAACAGTCCTTTTAAGGACTACTTTTTTGGCTTTTGTTTGTGTTAATAGCATGTTCTGTTATTGTGGTTCTCCATTTATTTATATGTTTTTATTTGTCTGGCATTTTATTGCTTTTCTTTTTCTTTCATTTTAGTTTGTATTCATGTCTACTTTTTTGCTTTAAAAAAAAAAATTATGTTTATATGGTTGGTGTTTGTGATTTAGTTTTTTTATTTCTCATTTACTTCTTTGTGAGGTACAGTAGATTTTATTTCTATATACATTTGTTTCCATATAATTGTTTGTTTATGGAATCAGCAGCAGGATGAAGTTGTCAGTAACAGTGCAAACCAGAACAACATTCTCATTGAGACACTGGGAACTTTTAGGTTTGCAAGTGTAGTCACATGAGAGAAAATTTCAAACAATTTTAATAGCTCTGACATGGCAGCTACCACACAGCAAGGCTTCCCTTGATGTATACCAAACCGTAGCTCAAACAAAGAAATACACAAGAGACCAAACCCAGATAGAAGAGTTCTAGATAATTTTAATTGTAAAAAAATTGGAGTAACACCTTGACAGCAGTTGCTAAGCAGTAATGGTCCAGCACTTAGTAACTGCTGTCATGTTGTTACTCAATGTGGAAAGTTCAGTACAGGGTCTAGTATAGATCTGTAAAATTACTGCATACTTGAGTCCATCCAAGTATGTCCTGTATTGAGCCCTAATGAAGGAGCAGTTTTTGCCCTTGAAATACATTGGCTGTTTTTAGATTTAGACTTTTTTTACTAACAATTAAAATTAAACTGGGCTATTTTTTCTAGTTTTGGTCTGGCATTCCTTTCTGTATTTTAATGGTAAAACTGGAAAAATGTTATTTGTATTATACAGGATTTATATAGCGCCAACTGTTTGCGCAGCGCTTTACAAAAAGAAGGTAGACATTACAGTTCCAACACAATTTGTTACAAGAGGAAACAGAGGGCTCTGCTCATTAGAGCTTACAATCATGTGCTTGGACATGTGCTTGGGATTGAACTTGGGTCTTTCTGTCTTTGGGCTGCGACTCTGTTCGCTCTGCAACTGGGGAACCTGAGTCTTGCAGTACACACGTTGCATAGTACCTCTACTCCTAGTACTTGCTAGCCCTACCTGTATTCCAGCTACAATAAATCCACAATCAGATCAGCTTATATTGCAGGGCTTCCTATGGACTGTGCCCATTTGTTGGATCTGTTTCCCTGGGTGTGTGCTATGCTGCTAAGCTACTGAACTTCTGGACTTTGACCTCTGCCTGATTCCTGGATTACTCTCCTTGCCTGATGATTCTACATTACTTTGCCAGTCTCTGTATGACACTGCCTTCCTCTGACCACACTTTTGGATTCTGACTTTCTACCTTGCTGTCAAGATTTTTTGCTGACCCGGCCTGCTTGACTACACTAATGCGTCAGCCCCCAGACTAAACCTTTTGCAACAAACGGGCCACAATGACAGTGGACCCAGCTGAGGTGGTTAAGGCTATTTTGCATCAGGGACAATTGCTTGATACTCATGAAGTGCATCTTACTTCTCTGAATACTAACCGGGATGCACTGACCGCTATGATAAAATCCTAGCTGCCAATGTCCTCTGAATCAGTTCAGACTCCTGCTCCAGCCCAAGCCGCCTCTTTAGTGACTCCGATCTCCCTCTGCCTGAAAAGTTTGGAGGCGATACTGAAGACTGCAGAAACTTTCTGAACAGTTTCTGCTAGCACTTCTGCAATAACCCTGAGACATTCAGTACAGCTTCTGCCAAAGTGACTTTTGTAATCTTTGTTAAAGGGGAAGGCACTTCAGACTGTTTTTGATAAACATGGCAGGGTTTCAGCTGCTAAATGCTCACTCTTGGATATACAGCAAGGTACCAGAACTGTTGAACAATATGCAAAGGAGTTTTGTACACTGGCTACTGAGACAAAAGTGGCATACTGGTACTCTTCGTGCAGCTTTTGGCAAAGGTCTCTCAGATCGCATTAAAGATGTACTGGTGTATAAAGATCTTTCAGATGACCTTGAAAAATTCGTAGAGCTGTGTGTCCATCTGAATGTCTGCTATTATAAAACGTGTTAGGAGAACTCACGGACTTGCAAGTTACCTCAGCCAATGTATCAGTTGGCTCCTACCTTCCAAACACCATCCGAGACTAAACCCAAAACTTCTATTGACACAATGACACTTGCAGAGCATATGGACATCAGCTGTCTCCACCTGAATGAAGCAGAGAAACAAAGGAAATGCTAATTGGGCCTATGTCTGTATTGTGGACTGAAAGGACACATGTTATCTGCTTTCTCTACCCATCCAGAATTAACCCCCCTGGGCACAAACTGCCAGCAGAACTGTGTACTTTCTGTACACTGTAGACTATCCCACAGTGTATTAGCTTCATACCTCCCACCTTACAACAGGAATAGCATGACTTTACAGATGTGTTTTGCAAACAGAGCTGAGGTACTGCTCCCACACCATTCTTTTGATTACGCAATTAACTTGATTTCGGGGGTGCCTCTTCCGAAAAGAAATACGTGTCCTTTGTCACCGCCAGAACAAAAACCTGTGGAAAAATACATTTAGGACAACTTAAGAGAGAGGCTTTATCCATCCTTCTTCCTTTCCAGTGGGGGCTGGATTCCTTGTTGCTGAAAAAAAGATGGTGGACTCCATCCATGTATAGACCATCAAGGTTTAAACCAAATCGCTGTTAAGGATGCTTACCCTTTGCCCCTTATCCTGGAATTGTTTTACCTCCAGAAAGGAGCCATTATTTACACTAAACTGGAC